ACATTTCCGAGAAGCTTCTCCCCCCAGGATAAGTGATGGAAGTTGATCCGAGTTTCACAAGCCATGGGAGCTGTTGCAGGGATGCTCCAGGCTCCTTCCCTTTCACACGTTGTCTTCCCATGCCAGCCACATCAACGTAGCAACCCCCCCTTGAAATCAATGCCATTAAACTGCTGATTTCTCTGTGTCCACCCAAGACTTCTCCATTGACTCCCAGCTGACAGCGCTGGGGTCGATCAGGAGCGTGTTTGAGATAAAGACGTCCCCGCGAGGCACCGCAGCTCCTGGCAAAACCCCGCAAAATCCCACATCTTCCCATCGTTCCTGCATCCAGCAAAGCTACAGGGAAGGGCGATAGCTGTGGCTCGGGCAGTGAGACCCATGGTAACGCTGCCAAGGAGAAAAGCTGGGTATTTGGGCCATATCCTCTATTTAATGTGTTTTGTTTTTTTTTTAACTAGACCATGAAGTTGTATTTTTTTGCTTCCAATGCTCAAATCCATTGTTGTATAAGCAAAGCAGCATGCTGTCGTCAGCCAAGGCAGCGTGGAAACTCATTTTTCTATGAAATATATATTTTTTTTCCTTTCAACAGTTTTTTTTTTCCTTTAAAATATATATGTTTAAAAATGAAGCTCTAGGTTGGAAACTGTCGGGTTTCTGATATGCACAGCTCCCCATCCACCTCCATCCAAGTCAGAAAGCTATAAACCATGCAAGAAGTACTCAGTTCAGCTGACAGTTTCACATAAATGAGCCCAACAAAAACTTGTATTTTGGATTTTTATTCTTTTTGTTACAAAACCTTAGTCTCAAGAATAGAGACATCCCCACGAGCAGCTCTGCCATCCCCAAAAGACCCTGAGCCATTGGGCAGAAAGTGTCCAGCGAGGAGGGATGTGCCACAGAGCCCTTCCAGTTCATCGGCTGCTGCCTTCCTTCTCCCCCGAACATGAGCACGTGTAAAGATTTGGTCTATAAATTATTTTTACAACCTATTTTCAATAAACCGGGGTTTCATCTCCATGCTGAAGGCAGGAGAGCCCTTTCTGTGGGCAATAAAGGGTCTGCGGGAGGGAAAATGCCTGCCAGGGACAGGATGCGGCTGCTCCCAAACTGGCACCGTAGGCAGCTCCTGCCACAGCGGTGTGGGCAAACACTGGCGTTTCCCAATCCTGGCCTTTTCCGGCTCATTTCCCGTTTGATCCCTTTACATGTCATGCCCCACTGAAAAGCAAACAAATGTCAGAGCGGTCAGCCCCGAGGCCACCTTGCCCGCAGCCAGTGCCAAAAACGCCTCTCCAGAGCCAGCTGCATCCCCTGAGACCTGCCGTGGCCGTGTGTGGTTGTCCTGTATTTTTGAGAAACGTGTGTTGTGCTTGGATAAAGCCCCCAGTTTTGTTATTTTATCAGGAGGAGAGGCGCTTGAAGGATGAGCAGCCCTGGAGGCGGGTGGTAAAGCCCCAGGGCTGAGCTGCGGCTGCCAGGGGAATGATCAGCCCCAAAATTAAGCCAAGCACCTGAGTCTTCTCCAACACTTTGACTAAATGCTTAAATATGTGGTTTGTCTCCAGCGGGGCTTCAGCACGTGCTTCAGTGCTTTGTTAAGCCGGGGAGGTTTAAGCACGTGCTTGGAGGCAATGTTATTTATGCTCGAGGGTTTTGCTGCAATCTGGTCCCTGGCTTGGAGACCACAAAGAACTGAGCTTGCACTGTCTGTCTCTCCATCCATCCTTTATTCCCCCAAAATGAAGCCACTATTCCTGCAGCAGCCCTGCCAGAAGAGACGGGGAATTTGCTGGTGCGTGGAGTGATGCTGAGATGGGTCCAGGCTGCGGTTCGCACCGTTTCTGCATCCCGCATCCCATTTCAGTGGGTGATGCTGGGTTCTGTGCCCATGGGTGATGCCGGGCTCTGTGCCCAGGGCGATGCTGACCCATGGCTCTGCTTGCAGGTGGACTGGCTGCAGCAGCAGGAGGTGAAGCGGCGGGTGAAGAGGCAGGTCCGAGGGGAGCCGCACGCCCTGCCCTTCAACGACCCGGTGTGGCCCAACATGTGGTACCTGGTGGGTATCTCCCCTCTGCCGCCCCGCAAGGAACCCGCTGCTTTACAGGGGGGTTAATTTATTTTTAATCAAATGCATCATCAATCTTTGCTCAGCCTGGCCAGTAATGAAACACCCTAATATCAGTGAATGTGCTCAGCAGCAGGATTTTAAAATTGTAAATTAATACACGAGAGAATCTAGTTTTAAGTGTTTCACCATCATTAGCAGCTCCTCATTACGGTCTGCACAGTGAAGGCTTGGGAGCAGCGCGGCTGCAGCACCGATGCATTTTACCTATCCAAGAGCTGCAACCATCTATTTACAATATCATTTTTCTCCTGCCTGCTTCATCGATCTGTATTTGACAGGGAAATTCATTGAAAATTAAGCGCAGAAAGGAAATGATCTCTTCAAAACTGAAGAGCCCACAGTATTTGAAATGGAAGAGGAAAAGAATAATAGGGACATAGCATTGCCTGGATTAACTGCTGCTGGATGGTTTTGATCAGTGGAGTAAAGTTATAACAAATCTACGAGTTATATGGCAGAGGGTGGGATGTAAATATATTTTCTGGTTGATTAAATGGGCTCCCAGCCTGGCTGCTTGTTTAGATGGGCTGAAAAGGGGTTGCAGCCCTTTTGCAGCTTGTGCTTGCTGTGTTCCCCCCATAGCACTGCGGCGATAAAAGCAGTCGCTGCAGGTCGGAGATGAATGTCCTGGCAGCCTGGCAGAGGGGCTACACCGGCAAAAATGTGGTGGTCACCATCCTCGATGACGGCATAGAAAGGAACCACCCTGATCTCCTGCAAAACTATGTGAGCTGGGGGATGGACGGGCTGGGGCTGGATGGGCTGGGGCTGGTCCTCACAGTGGATTTATGGAGAATTTCAGCGTATAAATACAGTTCAAGCTTGTGCATTGGCCGATTAGGAGAAAAGGGTTTTTTAAAAAAGGTCGAGATGTTTTTAAGAAGGAAACAAGGTTTTTAGACAAGAGGGTTTGGGGGAAACTCCCTTTGCAGCTGCCTGGGAAGCAGCCGCCTCCCTCCGGCTCGCCAGGGCAGAGCCAAAAACCTGCATGAACCCGCTCAGCCCCAGCTCAAACCCCGAACGGCCACGGTGGTGGGGGGAACGGTGCCGGACCCAGCAGGATTTGGGGTACAGAGGAGATGTCTCTGGTGGGAGCAGCATGTTTCCCCCTGGGCAATCATCTCTCAGCGGGGGCTGCAGCCCAAAACTATTGGTATTGAGCAAATAGTCAGAAACTAAGTGGAAAATGGCATTTAATGCCCAGCTGGTTGCGGGCAAAGCAGGACTGCGCCACTGCCGAGGCCACTTTGTCCTGTGCTGTGCTGGTAAGTCAAATCTAATGGTGGCAACGTGTTTTCAGGATCCCCTTGCAAGCTACGATGTCAACGGGAATGACCACGACCCGACTCCGCGCTACGATGCCAGCAATGAGAATAAGTATGTGATGCTAATTGCCGTGGAGCCAGTGTCTGCGTGGCCGGGGTGCGCGGGGGTCCCCGGGGCTGGGTGTCCCCCCTGGGGTGTTTTTCAGGTCCATGGCCTTTCCCCATCCCCAGCGCTGCAGAGGATGCTGCGGTACAGGCTTTGCACAGAGTCATTGCATTTAATGCAAATCCGCACTAATTGCTAACGAACCCTCAAGCCATCACACAACAGCACCGGGGGGTGGGGGGGGTGGGGTTCCTCGCCATGGTCCAGGATTAAACCACGTGAGTTGGGCTGGGCGGCTTTGATGTCAAAACTTGGATGCACTTTTTGGCCTTCAGTTAAAGCGGGATGCACATGTGATGGGATGTGTGGAAAGGAAACGGGAATGCGAAGGGCAGATTGCATTTAGGTGCAAAATGCAAAGAGCAAATTGCATCTAGATGCAAGATGCAAAGAACAAATTGCATCTAGGTGCAAGATACAAAGAACAAATTGCGTCTAGGTGCAAAATGCAAAGAGCAGATTGCTTTCTGCACTGGTTTCCTCCTTCCCCCAGCCCTCGCTGTGGGTTTTGGATAAGGGCTCTGCAGCTCTTGGGGCACTTTCTTCCACCACTCTGTCCTCAGGGCTGTTTTCTGGGTGCTGGGTGAGGGGTGGCCAGATGGATCCTTCACCACGGGACGACAGCTCATGGGGGATTTCTCTTTGCAGGCACGGCACTCGCTGCGCGGGGGAAGTGGCGGCGGCGGCGAACAACTCGTACTGCATCGTGGGCATTGCCTACAACGCACGCATCGGAGGTGAGGCTGGCGCCTGCCTGCGGCTCCCCTGCCCTTTGCCACCCCCCCGATGGACTGTGGCCACCCTGGCCGTGCCGATGGGCTCCCGGGGCGGGTGGTGGGATGCTGTTCTCCCAGATATTTCCAGGAGAGAGTCTCCTCCTTGGTGCCCCACCTTCAGGGAGCCCCGGGGGGGCTTGGGGGAGAATGGGTGACACAGGGTGCAAGGGACCCCGGCTGCATGTATTTTGGGGTGGAATCCTGCTCGGGCTGCATCCTCGCTGTGAGGATGCACGTTGGTCAAGGATGTGGTGGTTTCACTCCAAAAGTTCACAGTTGCTCTTTTTGGGGTGGGCGCTTTTGCTGTGGCTGGCAGCGCTGGTTAGCTTCAGAGCCGAAATCGCTCGTTTGTGAGGTTAATGTCTGCAGATGAGCTGCTAGGAGGGTGGGGGGTCTGGGGAGACCCCCAAAATACCCTTGTGGGGAAAACACTAAGGAGGTGGGAGGCCGGGGCTGCGCGGGGTGGGGGCACCTTTCCATGGTCCCTCAAATAACACGATCCGCAGGAAGCAAATGAATCTTTGTCACCAAATTGTGATCCTGATGGTAATTAGCATCACAGAGCTCATTTGCATTAGTGTAACTGGTTTTGGAGGCTGGTTTGAGCCGGGGCTGGTCTAGCACCTGCTGGGGAGATGGGGGTGTCGGCGGGGGTGGGAGTGCGGTGTCCCATCTGCGTGGCTGCTGGGACCGTGTGGGGGACAAATGCCTGGAGCTGCGTCCTCACCGGGGGTTTTAGCCCCATCCCTGGCACGGTTGGAATGGGAAAGCGGCTTTTGCTCAGGGGGGCTGCGACCCCTTCTGCCACCCCACAGTGGGAGACATCTCTGTCAGGAGCACAGACCCAAGCATCCATGGGTGGATTTGGGGCTTAATTCCTTCTCTCGGCTTGTTCGTCCTGGCCACGCTAGAAGCAGCTTTTGTTAGGGTTATGTCTGCACGGGAGTGGTGCCCGCAGGGATTCCTGCTCCTGGCCAAGCGCCATCGGTAGTTCCCTGTGCTGGGGAAATCCCCTGAGGGAAGAAATCACCCTGGGGAGGGGGAATGGGGGAGTGGCAGGGGCTGTAAAGGCTGTGGCATGTCCTCCCATCCCATCCCATCCCACCCCATTCCATCCCATCCCATCCCCTGTCCCGGGGGGTGGCTTCTCACCTCTAAACCCAGCTCAAAGCATGCACTGAGCAGCAACAGAGCAAGGCAAAGTTCCCGGGGGGGGAGTTAAGGCAGTTTTCCATCCTGCAGGATCAGGCCATTGCCTTCATGCTCCTTTTCAAGCCCATTTCTCCACAGCAGCTGTGGAGACGAGCATTACTTGTTGGCTTTATAGCAACGTATGGATCCTATTTTAATTTGCTTCCTTTAACGAGCGCCTTGCCTTGGGGGTGTGCTGGGGAGGCATCGATCAATGTGAGGCACCTGGCAGAGGGTAGAGGCCATGGGTTTCCCACAATGTGAGCAGGCAAAGGGGAAAAATAAAGTCTGTAGCCATATTAAGTTTGGGATTGTGGAGGAAAATGCGCTGTAGCTGCAGTGAGAGTGATTTTAGATGGATTACGCAAATAAAGCAGCGATTAATGAGCACAACTTGTTGGGGAAGCCTATTTGTCACACTCGGAGAGCTACCGAGCTACCATTTCACTGGCTGCTCTTCAGCGCTCTTGCGTTGCTTTTCATTTGCTCCAGGCAAAATACGTTGCTGCTCAAGAAACAAAACGGGCTCCTGCCATTCCTCCTCCTCCTTTCCCCTCTCCTTGAATGCTCACTTCAGAGGCCGGTGTTGCTCCCTGCGTGGCAAAGAGCTCATTTATTTTGCAGCATCCTTCCCTGCTCCCTCCTGTCCCCCGTTATTTAACCAGAGGGTCCCCGCATCGTGGGTGGCTGACTTTGGGTTGACTTTGGGCTGGCTTTGTGCTGGCTTTGAGTTGGCTTTGAGCTGGCTTTGAGTTGGCTTTAAGCTGGCTTTGGGTTCTTTTGGGCTGGCTTTGGGCTGTTTTGGGTTGACTTTGATCTGACTTTGAGCTAACTTTGGGCTGACTTTGGGCTCGCTGGTGAACTTGCCCACATTTAGCAAGCACAAAAAACCATCTCTTTGCTGGTTTTGCTTGCTGCACCACAGCCGAGCACAGCTCGGACACTGGGCTCGACTTTTCGCTCCTTCTCCTCGTGTTTTCTTGTTAGCACGGCAAAGAGAGGAAGTTTTTGGGAACTACTCTGCTCCCTCATTTTATATTTCTAAGCTTGTTTTTGGCTGATAGGGCACAGCGTTGAAAAGAGATATTTGAGTTGACTGGTGTCCAGAGCACAGCTGCAGCTGTAATGACATCTGCCTGCATTTGTTTGCTTTAAGAAAAAATACATGTGGAAGGGGAAATGCATTTTTATAAACTGGACTCTCCCTGGCTGGCAAAATACCATGCTGACATTTCCAGCACCTCCTTCCCTGCAAGGGCTGTTTCTGGGCAGCCCTTTGGGGTGCCTGGCACCCTCTGCCCGCCGTGCGGAGAGGGCGATGGGGAGCGGAGGGGGTTGTGACCCTCATATTGCAGCAGCTGGAGACTCAGGATGTGCTGCAGTCCCCCAGACAGTCCTGCCATGGCTGGTGGGCTCTGCCTGCAAACCACCCCAGCCAGCATTCCCGGCTGGAAGTGAGGTTATCCCAGGTAGCAGCATTGTCTTGCCACGGGTTGGGGTCCTGGCTGATTTCAGCCGCAGCCTTGGGCTTGTCCCTGTCCTGGGCTCCACTGGCATCAGCCGGGCAGTGATGGGGTTTGAGGACGGTCACAGTCGTCCCCACTCGTGGCAAGAGGCTTCATCCCGCCGGCATGCCTGAAGCCGGGGGGCCGAGAGCAGTCAGTAAATACTGATATCTTCCAGGTGGAGAAATGGTTTAGCTAATTAATTAAAAAGGGGAGAAAGAAGGTTTTTAGCAGGGGGAATTTGCCACTGGGGAGTGCAGCACTGCTCCCACTGCCCAATCCCTGCTGATGGAGGGGAAGCGAATTTTAACCCCCCCGCCTCCATCGCTTGCCGTGAAGCCAGCAACACAGAAAACTTTCCAAAATAGCTCCCCAGCTTCCCGCTGCCGGGCTCGTTAGCGCGTGGGGCCGCGGGTTGAAGCTATTCCAGGCGCGCCTGAGCCGTGCGGTTTCTGCTGCCGTTAACAAAGCCCCTTGATTGCAATCCTCGCACTTTCATCCAAGCCATTAAGCCCTAATGTCTGATGTTTTTGTGCTTTTAGGCATTCGTATGTTAGATGGCGATGTAACAGATGTTGTTGAAGCGAAGTCGCTTGGCATCAGACCCGATTACATTGACATTTACAGCGCGAGCTGGGGGCCAGATGATGATGGGAAGACAGTTGATGGACCTGGTCTATTGGCCAAACAGGCTTTTGAGCATGGCATTAAAAAGGTGTGGATCCCACAGCGCCCAGACGCGCTCGCCCTCCTCCTCCTGCCCCGTGGGGAACGTGTGCCGGGGCCGTGGCCGGCCCAGGGTCCGGCGTGGGGACGGGCGGCTCAGCCCCCCGAGGCGATGCCCACGTTAGGGCTGGGGCGGGGTGGGGGGCGAATCATCTCTAATTTTTCCTAGTTTTCCCCGGCGTCCCTAAGAGCTCCGGTGGATTTTGCGGCTGAGGGCGGTGACGGCGGGGGGGGGCCCGCGGCTTGGCACGGCCGGCCCCGGCAGGAGCATCCGGCACCGCCGGCCACCGGGCAGAGCCCCAGCAGAGCAGGCAGGCCCCAGGTTGAGTTGCAAAGCTCTACTGGGCTGAGAAACCCAAGCGGTTCTTGGTGGTGGTGGGGACTTTGCACCTTAAAATGTCCCCCCGGGGTGCTGGCACGGAGGGAAGCGGCCGCTTCCCCCAGCATCTCCATCCCCCCTCCTTCACCCCCCCCGGCCCCCGGTATCCTCTCCCGGGGGTCTCCGTCACATTAAGCTTTTCCCTGGTTTTCCACCCAAAACGAGTGGCTGTGTCATGGCCGGGGGAGGGACGTGGGTTCCACCACAGGATCCGGCTGCATAGGCACAGGAGAAGTTCAGATTATTATCCCTGAAGTCCTCCAGCAAGAGGGGCTCAGCTGGCATCACGCATGATTGACAGCTGTCAGTCTCTGCTGGGGATGCCCCGGCCTTCCCGCACCCCTTCTCTTACTGGGCACTTTTAAAAAATGCCCAGTATTGGCTAAAAGCACCGGGAAAAAAGACCTTTCTTGGCAGCTCAGCGGGTGCCGCGGGTAAGTGTCGCAGCGGCTCGGGGCCGTGCAGCGGGTGTCCCCCAGGTGCTTTGGCAACTTTGGGGATGGGGTTTTGCCATCGGCAGCCCCAGGCTGCCCCCGACCTGGGCTTTGAAACCTCCCCCCTTCGCTCCCCGCCTCCGCTCCTGCCTCCGCTGCCTCTTCTTGCAGTGTACCGGGATTCGAAGCGGCCGCGGGCTGGGGCGACGCAGCCTGCCTGTTATCTAAAAATAGGGTGGAGTGTTTTTCCCACTATTTACTTGATTTCCTGCCGGGGCGGTGAGCCTGCCGAGGAATCCATTGAAGTGCCGGGGAGTTCACGCCGTGTAAATACGGGGGAACAAGCTGCTTTTTAGACCTTATTTTTCCATGCAGGAGCAAATGGGCGGTAGCAGGGTACTTGCTCAGCGCAGCCCCGCTGTTTCGGGATGCTTCTGTCTCCCAGGGGACATCAATCCCTCCAGTGCCACCCGTGTTTGTGGCACCCACCATCCTGCATGAACAGCTCTTAATTGCTACTTCTCCTTAAATAATGAGGAAAGCCGCAAGCGGGTAGTTAGCTGCCAACTCTAGCCCAAGCAAACAGCTGTAACCGAGTTATAAATCCTTAAAATTGAGTTTTTAATGGAAACATTAAAATAACCTTTATCTATTAGCAATAGGACTGTGCTGGGGTAATTTATCATCTTGTTTTTCGCTCCCCCAGCCACACCTTATTAGTTCCCAAGCTAACGAGGGGATATTTATCCTGGGCTCTCATGGAGTGCTGTTGGGCAAGCACCCAAGCCCCGGCAGCGCTGCGGAAGCAGGGAGATGCTGTGCATCCCGCATCCGACCGATGCGCTGCTGGGGTGAGCCGGATCATCCCCAGCCTTGGCCAGGGAGGGATTCCCTAGTTTATGTGATGCCTGGATCCAGGTTTTATAGCGGCCAGGAGCCCCTTGCCAGGATGGTATTGGTTTAGAAGGATGGCAAATAAAAAAGTTGAGTGTTTGGGGTCTGCTTGTGCAAATCTTGGTAGTTGCTTGTTTGAGAGCAAAGGGAAAGTGTTTTTTTTCCAATCTGAGGGAGCTGCGGTAGACGGTGAGCTCTCATTCCGCTGGGAAACACCGTCAGGTGTTAGATGTGTGTTGCTGTCATGTTGTTTATGTGCCTGTTCATGTCCTCATGCAACCATGCTGCCTCCGAACCTGCTTTCCTCTAGCGCAGCCCCGCCGGCATCCCGGGGATGCAGATTTGGACCCGGACCGAGCAGCCTTTCTCAGCACCCCTGGCTGTGATGCTCGGGGTGCGGGATGCAAGGGAAGTCTGGGCTCCCCATCTGTTCATCCCAGTCGAAATCATTGCTACATCTCCACACGCCTTCAGCAATCGGTGCCTGGTTTTATTCCTCCAATTAGTGATTTAGGAAGGCCTGGGTTGCATGCAGCAGGGCTGGTCCTTGGAGGCGGGTGGATTTTAGTGTTGGAGAGCTGGATGGTCACTGCCTGTGCTGAGCACGTGGGCTGGGATGCTGCTGTCTCGGAGAGCCAGGAAACCCTGGGAAGCGGGATTGGAGATGCCAGCAGCAGGCTTGGTGGGCTGGCGAGCTGGGTCAAGCTCTCTGTGATGTGGGGCAGGGCAATAATTCCCTTTGCAATTGCATTTTTTCTTGCAGAGCTCCAAACAGCTCTGTTAATCTTTGCTAGGGAAATACCCACCCAGTCTGGCTGGGAGGCAGCCCAGATAATGAAAACTTTCATAAAAATAAGGAAAGAGCCTGACTTAGCCTGTGCATCCAGAGGCAGGGTCAGCTCAGAGAGCCTCTGCCCCAGGAGGAGGGCGAGACAGGTAATAAACCATCCCTCTCCCCCCAGCGCTTAAAACCCACAATAAATCCCAGTGAATTCCTCCGGAGCAAAGCTGCTTTTTTATTATTATTATTTTTTGTGGAGGAAGCCGCCGCAGAGTAGTGGGAGGGAGGTAAACACCAGATCTGCCCAGGCTAGCGCCGAAATCTCTCCGTGGCAGGAGTAGCCGCGGGGAGGATGGGGCTGCTCCGCTGCCATGTGCTTCCATCACCTGCCAAGCCCGGCAGCGTGCCGCCCTCCCGGGAGAGCCCTGCCTTATGGGGCAGGGAAGCGAAGCAGCCACTTCATTTCCTGCCCCAAACCCCCTTGGTTCACCAAAAATCCTTCCTTGGGACCACGGCACCCTGTTTGTGAACCCCCATGGGGCTGGGTTATGCCTGGGGGTGTGGGCACCCTGGCAGCGGTTCGGATGGAGGACGGAGCGATTTGCCCCCATGCTGTCGGCTTCGTTAGGGGCCCCTCGTTGGCACCCCGGCTGCTGCTGCCAGGTGGGATTTTCCCCCAGCTCCAGGGAGGTCCAGGCGGCTGATGCACCCCTCCCATTCCCCCATGTCCCGGTGGGCTCCCACAGCTGTACGTGGTGGGGACGGCTCCATCAGATGTTCCTGCCAAGCAACGGGCAGCAGGGAGAAAAGGCTGGGTTTAAAAAATAAAAAACAAACAAAAGAAGCCTAAAAGATAGGCCAGGGGAAGGTTTCTGGTGGTTTGGGTGGGTTCGCGAGGGGCTTTGCAGGCTCGGGGTGAGGGAGATGTGGGTTTTGGGGGGTTTCTGGGAAGCGCCGTGCCGGGTGTTACCGCCTGGTCCAGGGGCTCTGAGCACCTGAGATGTTTTACCCCATGAGAGCCCATGGAAGATGCCAAAATCCCCATCGCCAGAGGCTCTCCCATCCTCGCTGGGAGTCGCTGCCTGTAAAACTGGGGCTGGCCGAGCCAAGGGGCACGTTTGCTGGGGCTGATCCAGGGGGCTGTGCACTGGGCAGGATGGGACCCATCCTTCCACCCGAACCAAACCCTACCTCCTGACCCAAAAATCAGGTTTACCGACGGCATCCCAGCACCAGGGGAGGGCTGCCTCCTCCTCGCCGTGCCGAGATGGCCGCTCATCCCGATCAAACACCTCCTCTCACCCCCTGTCCCTTCTCTGCCCACAGGGCCGCAGGGGCTTGGGCTCCATTTTCGTCTGGGCGTCGGGGAACGGCGGCAGAGAGGGCGATTACTGCTCCTGTGACGGCTACACCAACAGCATCTACACCATCTCCATCAGCAGCACCACCGAGAATGGGTACAAGCCCTGGTACCTGGAGGAGTGTGCCTCCACCCTCGCCACCACCTACAGCAGCGGGGCTTTTTACGAGCGGAAAATAGTAAGTTTTACCCCGATGTCAAGTCGGGCAGCATCCCCTGGATGTTTTCTGCCTGGCTGGGCTGGATGATGGCTCGGTTGTAAGAGCTGGGCTTTGCCCTTAGCCCTGCAGTGGGTTTTGCTCATGCTTTTTTATGGTGGGGCCAAAATTGCTGTGGTCCTGGGGAAGAGATCAGGGATGTGGCTTTTACCCTGGTAAATGGGTGAAAGGGCTGGAGGTTTGCAAAAATACCTGTGCAAATATTTAACTGTCCCCCAAAGTGCTTGCCTTACTGTCCCTTGCTTAAAAAAAAAAAAGGGAATTTTCAGGATTTTTAGCCTGAGAGAGAAAAAAGAGGGAGGATGGAGGCATTTGGCAGGGATGTGGCAACCCCAAATGGGGAGCAGAGACTTTTTGGAGTCCAGGAATTGCCTGAAAGCGTGTGCACATGTGGATCAGCCTGGCTTTCCCTGCTGCCCAGGCTGTATTTGCCCTGTCCCAACAGCTGCTGTGGTCTCGTCACAGCAAGGCCTTTCGTTACCGATGTCCCCATGCGCTAACCGAACCTCGGGCAGTAAAATATCACCCACCAGCACGGTGCCTTACCTGAGCTGGGAGTGAGTTTTCCACCCAAATTAGTTTTTTTGACAAAAAATGTGGGGGTTTTATGTCAATTTTATTTTTTTTTTGTTCAAGAGTGATTTGTGTGGCCCCTAAAAGATTAATTTCCAGAATCCAAGTGCCTCGTTGGGGCCATTTTCATGGCACTAAGAAGCATTTGCGTGGCTGAAGGCAGCACCAGCCCAGTGCTGCTGGAGCGTTGCTGGGCAAAAAAGCAGCTTCCAGGGGCACCTTGGGGAGAAACTGGGTGGCACGTTCCACCCCTCCTCCAAAAATGACCAGATTAACTCAAAACCCAGGAGCCTTTTAAAAATGTAACCGACGGGGCATCTCTTTGCCCACCTTCTCTTTCCAAGCTTTTGGTACCCAAGCATCGTGCCCTGAAATGAAAAAGCTGGAAATGGCTTTTTTTTTTCCTTTTTTTCCCCATGCAAATGGAAATTCTTGCCTGACTCAAGGAACTGGAGCTTTTAAGGAATCATTTAATATGGCACAGCTTAACATGCACCCGTGGGTGCGTACCCACGCCGGCCCTGCCCTGCTCACACCACTCCATCCACAGCTTTTTCTCCAGCTGACCCACAGCAAAATTGCCTTTTTTTCCCCCTTTTCAAATATTTTTGCACCTTTGAGCAAAGGAAAATGTAAGCAGGGGTGTTTTGTCATGCGCCAAATGTATCTGCAGCCCGTTTTTTGAGGCTCAGAGCATCCCGAAGGCGTGGGAGCCGTGGCAGGTTTGGGTACCCGCAGGCTCAGCTCCGCGCTGGCAGCGTCCCAAGCAAACCTGGGGTGCTTGATGGGGTAGCACCCATGCCGGGAGCATTTCCAGCAGCACAGGGCTGCAGCTCCTCTCTCCACAGGTCACCACGGACCTCCGGCACCGCTGCACGGACGGCCACACCGGCACCTCCGTGTCCGCCCCCATGGTAGCGGGCATCATCGCCTTGGCTTTGGAGGCAAAGTAAGTTTAACCTTGCCGCCGGCTTGCAGGGGGATGTTTCCAAATTTAGTAGCTGGCAAGCAAAACCAGAAAGAAAAAAGGTGTTGTTTTTCCCTCTGGAGCAAGTCAAAATGGGGCAAAGTTATTCTAAATTGCTCCTTTTTGGCAAGGTTTGATACAGTGTTGTTGTTTTCCATCTAATCTTCCTGCAGGTGTTTTATTGAGCTAATTCTTCACTTGTTGCCATCTGTTGAAAGTTGGGGTTGGTGAGATAAGTCAGGCTTTTCATTTGGTGCATTGAAACTGCTGACAGCCGGCTCCAACAGGAGTTTTATAAATACTTCCTGGAAAAAAAAATGTCGGCAAACACCACAGAAAATGGAAAATGTCTGTAGAAGTGATGGTTCTCAGCTAGTGTTTCATTTCTGGGGGAAAAGGACTACTTTTGCATAATGTCAAAAACCCACGCAGCGTGACCAGCAGCAACACGCTCCCTGCTTCAAAAGAGCTGCTCTTTGCCTCTTGTCCCCATCCCAGTCCCATCCTGGTCCCGTCATCGTCCCCCAGCCCAGCAGTAGCCCCGCAGGGGACCAGGCTCACCCCTTGGGCATCCCCATGTTACTCCATGGAGCATCTTCTCACAAGCTTCTCAATATTATTATTATTTTTATGAGGTGGAAATAAAAATAAGGCTGTGAATAAGCCTCAGGGCAGCATTGTGCTCGCGTCCGGGGATGGCAGTCGCGGCGTGCTGGCTTCAGTCCCTCTTCTCCGGTTTAATCCCAGCTCCCAGGTTGGGTGAGCACGTTTCCAGAGATGCCGGCCGTTTTCGTTACAAATATATTAAGAGCGTTAGATGTAATTTTTGTATTGTTTAGCTGAGGCATAAAACGCAACATTAAGTACCAGGGCTTGGTGCTCAGGCAGTCCATTACGACAAGATGGAATAAATTGAATTTCTGTTCTTAAATGTTGCTCAAGAGCAATATAAATCCCAGTGCGAGATGTTGAAGAACTGAATGTAAGAAAAGCGTGGAAAATTCTTCGGCAATATCCCCAGGCTGGGGTCTTGTGGTGGGCTCAAAAGCACACAGCGCTTAGTGTCCAGCGCCCTGAACACACAAACACCATGCAAAACCTGCCTAGGGGGTAGTTTTGGAAACACTTTGGGTTTCATTTTTCTGTTAAATGAGCAGTCCAGGGCTTTTTCCAGCAATTTTTGCCGTTATTCCTATAAAGGGAATGTTTGCTCAGCAGTGTGTATCAGCGAGCTGTCGAGCCTGGTACCCCACCTCAGGATATCCTTCGCTCCCGATCTCTTGCAAGAAAATAGGGAAAACTTTGCTCCAGTTATACCCTGGAGGGCAAGAGCTAAATACCCTTGGCCAGGAATAAATCCTGCAATGCCTGTGGGCACGTGGCATCCCTCCCTGGGGCAGCCCCCTCTGCTGGGGCACCCCAAGCGATGGCCAACCTCCAGACAGGGTGTTAGCATTTAAATCATCGATTCATGCTCTTTTGGAGCAGGAAAGAGGGTTTGTTGGGGTTTTTTAACCAATGGGGGTCCCTGCTGCTGCTGGGAAGACTGGAGGCAGCAGAGCCATCCCATGAGTCAAGTGTTGTTGCAGCCCCCTGCTCACCTGGAGGGATGTCCAGCATCTGCTGGTCAAAACCTCACGGCCGATGCACCTGCGAGCAGCCGACTGGAAGACCAACGGCGCGGGGCATAAAGGTGAGGGGCCACGGGGGTGGAGGTGTCGTGGCAAAAATGGCCATGAAAAGGAAAATAGAGGTCCCCAGAGCTTCACTTGTGGGAGCATTCGCCCTGGATGGCCTCTCTCAGCTGGCTCGGGGGCTCCTACCATCAGGCTGTTGAGTGGAGGGAGGAGAGGGCAGTAATTTGTGGGGCGAGATGCTTGGAAGCCTTGCTTGGTGTAGGCTTTGGAGCCTCGCTTGGTGGAGGCTTGGAAGCCTTGCATGGTGGAAGCTGTCCTGAGCTGCAGCGTTGGCTGCTCCTTTCAGTAGGCTGCTCCCAGCAACGGGTTTTCTATGGTGCCAATGTGGATTTGGGGTGTAATTCAGGAAGGGTGATGAGCTCTGCATGTCGGAGCGCCCTGTACCCCAACGGGGTCAACTCCACACCTCTGACAGTCAGAGGATGCTCCTCCAAGAGCTGAGGAGGAACTACTGGTACCTGCTTGGAGGGCAGTGGGTTTCTGAGTCTTCTCTCTTTCCAGTTAGCCATCTATATGGCTTTGGTCTGGTGGATGCAGACGCTATTGTGGTGGAAGCCAAGAAGTGGAAGGCAGTTCCTCCCCAGCACGTCTGCGTGGGAAGCCTGGACAGGGTGCCCAAGTGAGTGTTACAAGGTGGGGGGACTGTCCCGGGGCACACGGCCGCTTGGAAGGAGCTTTGATGGAGCCAGCTCTTGCGATACAAAGGCTCAGCTGCTGTCCCGGGATTTGGAAAGGAAAATTAGGAGTCGGGTGGCCGGGACAAGCCTGCATGCAGGCGAGATGATGTTCATGGATTTTATGGTCAGAGTGACCACTGTCCATGGCAAGGTCTGTTTATTGACCCAGAATTGCCCACCCGGGGTCTGTGCCTACGGCTCGGTGAGGAGCAGGTCCCGTGGGGGCTCTCCAGCACCAGCTTTGATGGCAGGTGATTTATTATTGCCCTTTCTGTGCTTTTGCTTCCCCAGTGGGTGATCAGCAGGGATTTTTTGAGGGCTGACAGTGCTGTTTGCCATTCTGGAAACAGCTTAGGAAGACCAAAACCAGCTCGCCCACTGGGTCCTACATGAGTGGTGATGGGTTGGCTCTCCTTCCTCTTCCACCAAACACCTCATCTTGATGGAAGACACCAAAAAACGGTGCTTAGTTGTGAGGGTTCCCAAATTTCCAGTGCCTGGGATCTCTTTGAATTTGGCTTCAGGTTCAAACCAGCTTAGGTTCACATCTCATCCTTGGTAGGTCTGTCCCTGCTAGGTTAAAGGGTGGGATCAGGGATCTGACCAAAGGGACGCTTCTGGTTTACCACTGCCTGACTGTAGAGCAAGTTGAGTTGTTCATCAGAAAAGCAGTCCCTTCGGAAAGACTTGCATATGCAAAGCAG